TTTTTTTTTTTTTTTTTTTTTTTTTTTTTTTTGAGAGGTTTTTGCTTTAGGGCGCATGTACTTGCCAGACAGACAGAGAGACAGAAAGCGAGAAATCACCCCCCAGGGGGGATGGCCATGCCGCAATCCCTTCTCCATTCTCCTCTTGGGATCTTGAGCACGCATGCACACGTGCCCGGCGTGAGTTTAAGCCACTGGGTCTGGAACGTGAATCATGGTCGACTACATGGGAGTCCAGCGACATAGCCATTATGCTAACTGCTGGTCCCTCATTTCCTATTTCTTCATCACCAAGAGATTGGCAGAGTGCAGGATTCATAAATAATGAGAAAAATAAATGAGTTAACAGCTGGTGGTAGGTTGAATGCACTGTGATTTTCACAGAGAAGAGAATGAAATGTTTAGCTCCAGACAGCCTTCTTTGAGATGAAACCAGGACTAGAATTCAAGCCAGTTGATGTCCAGCTCATGGCTCTTGCTATCAGATCAGACTCTGAAACGGTGAAAATCAGACCTTGCCATTTTTGTGTGCCCCATTCTTAATTTCCCCAGCACAGGTTGCTAATGTAAAAGTTAGACCCAACCCAAGACTTGAGAAAGATCCTAGATTTGGACCACCCAGACCAGTAATGTTCATGCTATGTGGGAGATGCAAAATAAGGTCCCCTGAAACACGTGCCTTTGGTATAGCTCCCTTCTTGGCTTTTTTTTTTTTTTTTTTAATATTGATTTAATTCCATTTGTTATTACTAGTTTTAGTTTGACTAGAAAGAGACAGAAAGGGAAACCAAGAAAGCAAGCCACCAGGTCCAGGACTTGAACCGTGGTCGACCATGTAGGAATCCAGCACCTGTCACCACCACACCACCTGCTGTCCTCCCTTCTCAGCTTTTGAATGAGACCAGTTGGTCCTGGGTAGCCAACCGGACAGGGCAATTGAAGACTTTTGAGATGACTCTGGGGAAGGACTTCCTAAACTTTACATCCTACTTCTAGAGTCAGAGAACAGGCTGGTGGATCAAGCTGCTGTGTCAGCTGTGAGTTCTTATCTCAGGGAAGCGATTACTCTTGACCTGGGCAGGGAATTGAGAGGGAGGAAGACAAAGGTCCCTGCCCTCTGGGAGGCACAGATGTGATGGATACATACCCAGAGCCTGGCAAGCCTTTAAAAATGCCGAGTGGACAGCTTGGCCTTGCATAAACTCAGGGTACTGAAATGGGGAGGAGTTCATTAGGAATGGCTCCCTGGTAGAAGGTAGTTTTGTGTAAGACTGAAAAAGAAGGGATGGCCAGAGCTGAGCAGGTGTTTGCTGAGTGTAAGAGCAGGGACCTTGGCGTTATGAAGGGAAATTGAATAGTCCTAGTCCCTGATCTGCCTAAGTTTCGTTGGAGAGGCAAGGTATGAATTCATGAAGAAGCCACTAACTGGTGACACGCAGTGGCTTCTGACCTTTGACCAACAGAATCACTTGGGGATGTGATGCTTGTTTCTTTTATTAAATAATATTTAATTGTATTTATTCATTCATTTATTTTTTTAGTTTGACCAGAGAGAGACAGAGGGTGCGAGTGAGAGAGAGAGGAAGCGAGAAAGCAAGCCACCAGATTCAGGACTCGAACCCTGGTCGGCCATGTAGGAGTATTGAGCGCCTCAACCACCATACCGCCTCCTGGTCCCCACAATGCTTGTTTAAAATACAGATTTCCGCTTTTGGCCAGACCTGCCATCTTCTAGTAAGTCACCAACATAATATAAGCAAAGGGAAAGA